TAACTAATTGATGTATGTATGTAAATTATGTAAATTATGTAAATTATGTAAAGTATGTATGTATGTATGTATGTATGTATGCATGCATGCATGCATGCATGCATGCATGCATCTATCTATCTATCTATCCATCCTATCCTATCCTATCCTATCTAATCTAATCTAATCTAATCTAATCTAATCTATCTATCTATCTATGCTATCTATCTATCTATCTATCTATCTATCTATCTATGTATCTATCTATCTATCTATCTATCTATCTATCTAGCTATCTATCTATCCGTCTACCTATCTATCTATCTATCTACCTATCTACCTATCTATCTAGGTATGTAGGTAGGCAGGTAGGTAGGTAGGTAAGTATGTAAGTAGGTATGCATGCATGCATCAATGCAATGCAATGTACTGTACTGTAATGTACTCTAATATACTGCACTGCAATGTATTGTAATGCACTGTAATGTACTGTAATGTACTGCAATGCACTGCAATGTACTGCAACGTACTGCAATCTACTGGCATGTAGGATCGTGTAGTGTAATGTAATGTATGTATACAAACAGGAAAATATGTACCATTTGCCTCCGTGCATGAATGTAAAATGCAATAAAATGCACATACATATACTTCTATCTCAATGTCGTTTCCCTATGTTTAGCGTCTTCGTTATCGTTTCTTACATCCCAGCCATCCTTAGATCTGCATCCCATGGAAGACCGAAGCTATGGGTGATCAAAATTGGGCTACGCATGGACCACAAGATGGGTCATCTCTATATAGTAGTTTCATGTATGTTACGTATGTTAAATATTAAAATTATCTGCGGAACAAAATTATGAACGATCCATATTTTGGATGATTTTGAGGGTTGATCAACCCATCCATATTTTGAGGGTTGATAATTTTCTCCCGTGGCATGACTTACTGTAACATGACTGATCGTGTCCTGTTCCATCTTCACGGCAGCCTCCGGCGCAGAGACTGAGGTGGTGAAGCCATGGTTTAGCCACTGGATCACGACCAAAACAAAGATGGAATAAAATGATGACCCTCTACTTTTGATACTTAAAATCCCTACTTTAAATAGGTAAACCAGGTAAATCATCTACAAATGGGTCATGTTCCTTGATTAATTATCTAAAAATTTATGGCTCGAGTCAGGCTACGGACCACTGATCAACTCATGGGCCGATGGATGCTGACCTCGCGCTGGCGTTTCCGTTGCAAGGCGGCCTGCACAACCGCAGGGCCCGCCGTTTGCGGCAGATTTTGAGCATCACCATGGTCCCACTATGCAGTCATAAAATCTGCAAGATGGATGAGCACTAACTACAACACCAAACTCACAAAACCAAACAGTTTGGGGATCTTTTTGATCTTTTTCGGCAAAAGAACATGAAAGATCCGCAGGCGGATGGTGGTGGAACGTCCAGTGAAAACCACAAGAACTCAAGATGGAGCAGAAGCAACATGGCCTAAAACAGTGTGGGTGATGTCCCGCTTGTCAGCCAACTACACAGAAATCACAAGTAATGTAATTCCTAACAAATATCATTCAACCACTTCATATAACTCCCATCACCAGGTGGTTCCTTTGCCTCCCGGTTCCGGCGGATCTGCTCCGCTTGCGCCGCCTGCGCCGTTTGTGCCAGCTCGCCTTGGGGGATGAAGAGATCCTATGGTCTGGATATGTCTGGATATGGGAAATTGGAGGATACATTCTCCCATGGTGTATATCCAGACAAATCTGGATATACACTCATATGTATTAGTAATTATTAGTATGTATTGTCACATATCCAAACACGCACTCAACCCACCCTTTTTCTTCTATCGGTTGTCCGGCCTACGATCCTATTACGACCTGCCTGGTGTCACTGGTTGCCCAAACAAGACGGATAAGTTAAGACTCTTGGTTTCAAAGCTGAAAATGTCTGGCTTTACAGAGGTTTGGACCCTTTTTCTGTATCAAACTGCTGAATGACATCAGTATCTTTGGACCCAGTTCAGGTCTCACAGGCTCAAAAAAACAAAATGGCACCTGCCGATCCTCAGTAGCCTTGCTGTCCGTCGCGCTACGGGTTGGAAAGCTACGAGAGATCTAGTAAGCTGGAATAAAAGCTGAGTAGTGGACGCGCAAGGGCAAACCTTTGCCTAAGGAACAAAGTATCAGATTCAGATCGTCTCGCCAGGGCAAGATTTCGCATCTAGAGCCTCAGAAGGATTCAGCCACCTTACACCTGCCGTCATCCGTGGAAGACCCTACCGGAACCTGCCATCTCTACTTGAGCAGTGGCTGTTCAAACCGCTGTGTCAATCCCTTGCTTTGGTTTATGATGGGACTCTTACACGTTTGGCCACCGCTCTTTTCGGGAACGCCACATGGCCGGATCACAAAAACTGCTCAGCACCGGCACGTGGTTGAGACCCTGCCACAAATCTTCGTCCGGTGCAGACTGTCACTGGGACTCCAAATTCTGGTCCCTTTGGCTACCATCAAAGTTGCTGACCAGATTGGTCTGAGAGCGATAGAAGCAAGCTGCGTCAAAATCCCCAGTTGGACATCACGGGTTAGTGAATGCATGTTCACGCTGGGGATATATATATATATGATCCAATGCTGACAGGTTGTTGCCGTTCGCCTCAGAAAGAAAAACTGGAACCCTGCTAGAATGTTCTTATTTGTAACCACAAATATCCAAAAATCAACCACCATCAGCCCGAGATGGCTGCTTTTGGCACATGCTCAATGGGGAAGTCCAAGCCCCCCTGCCCGGTGAGATTGTAGGTGTTTGTCTTTCGCCTCAAGAAAACACCGAGAGGCGAGAATCGGAGTAAGGGTAGGAAACAAGGTGATCTATAAAATCATAAAGTCCCCGACTCCCATTGAGGTTCTCCTATTTGAAAGGATGTCAGATGGTTCCTCCTCAGTCGCCCTGAAAACTAACATGGAACTTCACGGAACTCCAACATGAACTCCAACATGAACTCCCATGGCAAATCTAACATGAACTCCCATGGCAAATTGACCTCAAGAGGTTCAAGCTACCTAGGCCACCAAGTCACAGCGGCGAGCTAAAGCCAGCTGCCGGTTTCGCTCCACCGTCGCCTAGTGGTGCGGTGACCAATGGGATGAACTGCAAGATGCTGCAAAAGGGGGAGGGAAATGCAATGGAAATGTGTGCGGGTCAACATTGCGGGACCACAATAGCTCGTCATTTGCAGCATTTCAGCAAATCAAATCAAATTAAGCCATCCATTCTGCGGATTGATCCTTTTGACCCGCCACACTCATCTGTTTCTTTCCTCAAGGTTGGCTTAGGGGTAGTTCCAGGAGTCCGGGGGGAGTTCAGGGCCTCCCAAACCGCCAAAAAATAAACAAAAAAAACTGGGGGAACTCTTTGGAAATGTTGATGCAGAATGTGCCCCTGCAAATCCCAAGTTTGAAGCCCTTCAAGGGTCCTTGCCACTCTGGGACCTTTTTGGGGATCCAACTAAGGGGATCATTTAGGCTCTCTGAAAGATTGAAATGTCAAAAAACGTGTCTAAAAGATCCATTTCTTCGGAGACTTCAAGCTTGGCTTCACAATTTCCAGTTGCTCTTGGGGAAATCTTGGTGGAATGAAATGGATCCATTTTGGGGGATGGGAATTCTCTCAGGCCCTCAACGGGGAAAATCAAAAGCCATATCCATATGGTCCAGTCATTATGAGTCATTATGAGTTTCAAGTGTCAATCAGATCCGGTGCCATCATCATCATCATCATCATCATCATCATCATCATCATCATCATCATCATCATCAAGAAGACCCCTCCACCCGAGTTGAGTGTTGGGTCTGTTCATTGTCAAGGCCCATTCCAATGATCATAAACTTAACACCCGAAAAATTCATTGCGACGGCTGATACGTGTGGAGGTTTATTGTCAGGGATGGGATAAATTCACCAATCACCAGAGTTAAATCCCTATTCCTGCTGATTCAAACAAAAAACATGGTGACACTCAGATCATCCGTTTCTGGTGGGTAAAATCCAATTTGTTGTTCATCCGATTCGTTGTGATATGTCCAAACATAACGTACAGGATGGGGCCCCCAAGATAGCTAAGTTGCCTTATAAGTGGCTTAACTATGGTTTATGGTAGATATAACTATAGTTCATGGGGGGTTTTGTTATGGATGTTATGGTTTATAAACCAACTAACATCACTGGAGGGCCCCTTACCCAGTACCCAATGGCACCCAAATCTAGTGGCTTATCACATCAAGCTGCTAGTTCTTGGGTCACCCATTGGCTGCCGCAAAGATGGGAAGCCACTGGAATCACCGACACCTTCAATGGACCTGCAGGACCTTTGTCTGAAAACGGTGTACCCTTTCAATCCATTGATTACCCTCTGGTAATTTAACATAGCTATGGAAAATCACCATTTTTTATGGGAAAATCAACTATAAATGGCCATTTTCAATAGCTATGTTAGTTTACCATTGATTAATCCATTGATGGTTCCCCGTTTCAGATGGCCCAGGACCGTTGATTCGTTTTGCCCTTGGTCCAAAGCCTTCCAGAAACGACCAAAAGACCTGGCCTTCTGTTCGGCCGAAAGGTCCTTTCGCCTCAGTGAACCAATTGCCAGCAATCCCTGCTGGAAAAATCTCCGCTTACACAATTGGGATTTGGCAAGCCTCGGTTTTTCCAGAAACAAACATTGGATTTTATAGAGCTAACAAAAAACGTGGATTTAAGGAGCAAACATGCGGATTTTACACACAAGTGGAGATTGACTGCAATGAACAATAATGTGGATCTGGCAAAGAAACGTGGGGATGAAGCCAACAATCAATTGGGGGCTGAAAAGCGAATCTGGGTAACGGTTTCCCGTGTCATTTATTACAATTTCTCCTGACAACTTGACGGTTTATTACTTCTCACTATTGCCCTCTACGGAAAAGAATGATACAGTAAATGATAAAGATTGATGAGCAGAATCACAGAAAAAACAATTGCAACATGGCCATGTTTGCAGAATTTCCACATCCTTAAGCCACACCCAAATGACCCTTGGACGTAGTGACTCACGTCTCACTGGAAAACATTACCAACCTGCTTGGGCATGTGATATCCCAAGAACCATTTACAGTATTTCAGGAGTTGATTTTCAAGACTCTGCAAAATCAGACCTTTGCATGTGTCCAAAAATTAGGGGTACAGTGCCAAAAAAAACCTATGTAAAAATCAGATTTTTCCCCATGACTTTCATGACCAATGGCCATACATTGCTGGTGACTCCTATCAGATCCCGCCCATGGCACCTGTTCGGTTCACAGTTCTCGCGCCCAAAGCAGCGGCGCTTGGCATCTGGAACTTCGGGGACCTGGACCATCGGCATACCCTCCGGTAATCAAACACGGCAATTGAAAATCTAACATCTATTGCAGATGATTTCCCCGTTTGAAACAAAAAGAAACCTCCATTTATAAAGGATTTCCAATTGCAATTTTTGATGTTGCTGGTTGTGTCCCGCAAAAAAAAAAGTCGACCCATAGCCAGAGTCATGCCAGAGTCCCCAAGCAATTCTCCAAGTTCTTCTAAGATGTTACAGGTGATCTTTGATGATTTCCCCGTTGTCCCACTGTTTTTCAACCTGTGGGGTTGCTCAATCTCCCCGTTGCCTGCCCCAGCACAGTCATGACGCTGCCCAGGTGCCAGTCAAGCGGCTGCGGGAGATGAAATATATCTTCCAGGCAGATTATACATGATTATACTATCTTCCATTTGGTATAGTCCACCTATATGAGATTGGATAGCCATCTATTGATAAATTCTTCGTTGGAAATTGAGCGGGTAAGACAAGGAGGAAAGAGAAAGAGAGGAAGACACGAGGAAAACATATTGGAGACCCAGGACCCATCCTGATCGGAAACAATGATTGTCAGTCATGCGTCTCTGCGAGTCCGAATCTTTGGCTCAGCCAATTGTTCCTATGATGCTATGTCATTTCGTTTGGCAAGAGTCAAAAGGATTAAAATTGGATTATGTAATCACTTTGACGCATCCTTTACAGGGTCTACTCTAATATTGATTGACCAGGTTATACTATGTCACTATGTTATACTCCCTTGTTTGGGGGTGTTCTATGAACATCCCCCCTATCTTTATTGTTGGCACCAGTTTTGTTGGTCATCCAATCACAGTATACACTGTGTTTGGTTGCAACATACTCTGACTGTATCCTTAAATGTTGTTGCTTCAGTCCGCATCTTTGTTGCTTTCATCCCTTTTACCCTCTGGTAATTTAACATAGCTATGGAAAATAACCATTTTTAATGGACAAATTCCACTATAAATGGCCATTTTCAATAGCTATGTTAGTTTACCAGAGGGTACTTCTATAAATCCACATCCTTTCAGGTCCCATGTTTTCAAGTCAGCAGCTCAGTGATGTCGCCCCTAAAGGGCGCAGCTTCCAAAGAGCTCCTAGGCCCACCAGGCAAGCGACCGCGCTGGCAAGGAGGCATAGCAGTCCGTAGCTGCCATGGTGCATTACCACCTGGATGGCATCTGGCTTCCCTTTTAAACAATCATCCAGGCTGTGAAAATGGAGAACTTCCACAAATGAGCTGAAATGGCCATTGAATTGTGATAGACCCTGAAAGTCCAGGTATCCTATTTTTGGATGACGCCATTCATCATTTTATTGCTGCTTCTAAGATTCAACATGGGGATTTCGTGGCTGTCATTGGCTTGGCCCCTGCCTGCATCATGGCTATATAAGCCACCGTATGGCTCGAATCGAATGGGTTGGTCTGAAAATATGGTACCTAAAAAGCCTAAAAATCTTGCGTTTCATCATGTTTTCCAATATCTACACTAATGGCCACACTTTATGAGGCAAATCCGAAGCATTTTCAGACACACAAATTTTGGCTCAAAAAAAGATCAAAAGCCTGCAATGCCCTGGCAACATCAGAGGTATTAACATGTATTACCCTCTGGTAATTTAACATAGCTATGGAAAATCACCATTTTTTATGGGAAAATCAACTATAAATTGCCATTTTCAATAGCTATGTTAGTTTACCAGAGGGTAACCCATCCCCAACTCATGAAATCTCCAGAAATCTTCCACCCGAGGGACGGTGGCCACCATGGGCCCCACGGCCAGCCCCAAGGTGACGGCCATTTCGCTGGAGGTCACCGCCTGGCCGTAGCCCAGCTGCTGGCGACTTGCCAGCTGAGCCATCAGTGACATGGAGGGCGCGTCCACCTGGGATCACATGGCGCGTCATTTAATGAATGGCGGTGAAATTGGAGAAAGAGGAGGATGAAAGCAAGGGTCAAACTGGTGCTGGTGCTGGTGCTGGTGCTGGTGCTGGTGCTGGTGCTGGTGGTGGTGGTGGTGGTGGTGGTGCTGGTGGTGGTGGTGGTGGTGGTGGTGCTGATGATGATGATGATGCTGATGATGCTGATGTTAGTAGTTTGGTATGGCTTTAGTTAGTGCTTTAGTGTTTCTTGAATGATAATTGATGGGGTAATGGGGATAGGATTACTAATATTCATCATATCATATGGGATAGTAAGATTAAGATTATACATTGGGGGTGGGATGCTGGGATGATTGGTTTAGTAAAGTTTAGTAGTATGGCTTTAAAAAAAAAAGAAAACAAAAAAAAGGCTTGGGGAGTGCATACACTCTCATGAATATTGCGGATGATGACAAAAAAAAAAGTCTGATGGCTTTATCCCAAAATTGGTTTCAGGGAAACTTGCAGGAAAGCCCTATATTCAACTGGTACATCAGGTAAAACCACTGTTTCCAAGTGAGTTTCCCTTCAACTAACCCAGGGAAAGGTGGATGGTGTGTACGCATGGTTTGGTAAGTTTGTATGGTTTAGGGAATGGAGAGATGGGAATGGGTTTGGCAATCTGCATAAATGACCTGATTCATTGATGGATACAGTCTTGGCAGAGTATATATGGGGTACTGATTGATGGATTAGTCAATGATTAGTGGATACTCAGGAGCTGTGGGGCCTGTAATCAAAAAAATGGAAGAGCAGAGCAAACAGCACTGGAGATCAAACCCCGCAAAATGGATCCATAAGTCTGTTACTGAACCACCGATGTTTTCAATCGAATTTTTCACCGGTTTCAGTGGTTTCGATCATCACAGTTGGCTGAAAGCAAGGCAAACCCGTGTGCAGACGGGATAGAAACCTCAGCCTTTAACAGTGGATATGCTGGAAAATCCCCTCATGAGATGATGATTGTCCCCATGAGATGAAAAAAATAGGGGACATGCCAAGCCATATTTGATGAAACCGGAGCTTACTATACGCTCCGAAGCAAGTTTCTCAGATGTCCAAGGCACCATTCCGTTGGCCACACTACCCATGACCAGCATCAGCACGATGATCATCGGTGGTGTCTCAGACCATTGCAGCTTCGCCGCGGAGCAGAGAAACACGACCAGAAAAACAGTCGTGGTGTAGACCAATGGAGTTCCTCGCAGCGCGCACCGAGTGTTGGGGGCAAATGACTTGATCCACAACAAGTCACACAAAAAAAAAAACATCCCTTTCCACTTCCACCAAAAAAATTGGGACTGAATCCAACCCAAGAAACAATCTACAAATCATCATCCACTTGGAGGATCATCCCCAAGTCAAGTGGGAAAATCCATTAGAACTGCGTTATATGGGTACTGTACGTGTTTTTTTGCCGTAAACCCCAATCATAAACTGGACCATTTGCTGTGCATTAAAGAAACCAGGACCCTGGGATGTTCACATTATGGATTGCTGTCTCTCCATTTTATGGTCGTTCAAATCCCCGAAACAAAACTCCGTGGGGCGATCGTCCCGGAAGCATGAATCATCCATGTGTGGATGATTTTGCTATCAAAAACAAGTCATCAACCCCAAGTTTCGCATGTCGTTGCTGTCCCCCAAAAAATCAGCCCCAACTTCCTCAACTTCCCCCAGCCCCACCCCAACTCATTTAAAATGCAACAAGAAAAAACAATTAAAAACCATCAAAAACTATCAAAAAAATGATCAAAGTCCACTTTTAAAAAAAAAAACTTAAAAAACTATCAAAAACTCTCCGAAAACCATCAAACCCCAATTAAAAACCATCCAAACCCATCAAAACTCCTCAAACACCACCAAGTAAACTGTGTTTCTTCCACTGCCTCCCCCCAACCGCCCCGCCCCTTGGGGCGCCACGGCTCCCACCAGCACGGTGGCGCGTTGCTGCGCCTGGCCGCTGCAGCGCCCCGCCAGCTGCGAGGCTAAGGACTGACCGATGGCCGCAGGCACCGAGGCAAGACCAATAACGCTGCTGGAGAAGCCCTGCATGGCGCTGCTGGTTATGGCTATAGATGGTTATGGTTATGGTATATGCTGTAATGGTTAATAAGTGTTCTTATAATAGGCAAATAATAGTTAAGAATGGTTCATGGCTGTGATGCTTGTGGATATGACAACAGTTACTCGTGGTTTATAGCTGTGATAATGGTTGTAGTAATGGTTGAAAATTGTTATTTTTATAGACAATAATAGTAGTTGATTCTGGTGATAATAATGGTAGAATAAAAGAACTTATAGGAATGGTTTTAACGATGGCTATAATCATGGCTATAATCACAGTTAATATGGTTAATATTGTTAAGAATGGTTCATATATTAACTATGGTTATGATAATTGGCAGTGATAATAGTAGACAATGGTTGATAACATGGTTAATATCGTTAAGAGCCATGATAATGGTATAATGATCAATAATAATGGCCACGGCTACAATAATATGATTATGGCCATAACAATGGAACTATAATAAGTGATTATGGTTTATAATAATGTGTGATGGCTATGATAGTGGCTATAATAATGATTAATAATTGGTATTATAATAGGCAATAATAATAGCTGATCATGGTAAAAACAATGATAAAATGATAATTATGGTTATAATAAATGTGTAATAGTTGAGTGTGGTTATAATAATGGTTCATAACACGGTTAATAATGACTATGTAATGCTTATAATGATGGTTTGCAACATGGTTCATATTGGGATATAATGGCTATAATAAAAGTTACTAATGGTTACAATATTGGCTCATGGCTATGATAATGGTGAATAATGGCTATGATAATGGTGAATGATGATCAATAATGGTTGGTCAGTGTTGATAATATGGCTATGATAATAATGCAAATGGCAAATAAGATTTTTGTAATAGAATATTGATGTAGTGAATATTCATAATCCTATGATAATTCTTAACGATGCTTAATAATATGGTTAGTGACATGGTTGATAATATGATGATTGGTATTTGAATAATGGTAATAGTGGGATACACTGCCTATAATAATAGTTCATAATGGTTTTAATGGTGGTTATAGTAGCGGTCAATAATGGGACATGATCAATATCAATAATATCAACCTTACTATACTTAACCTTATCCCCTTATATCCTTAAGAATTGTTCCTTTATGGCAAAATTCAAAGCAATATACACAGCGGGAACGGGATTTATATTACCAATAACTATCACCAACAAGAGGATGGCCTCAAACATGGCTGGCTGGGAAATCCCCGAACTAAGGGTGGCTTTAATGGGATAACCATTGAACTAAATGGAGGATTTTCCAGCAAGCCATGTTTGATTACCAGAGGGTAGGTAATTACCAAAGCTACCCCTATATTATCTATGAAAAAATCCGCCCGCACCGAAGGTGCTGGGGCGTGATCATCCGGATGGCACTCGTAAAAGGTTACAGGTTTACCTGGGGGGGGGGGGCATTTTTCGGCCAAAACCTCCTGTTTTTGATAGGTCGTGACGCTCGCCTTCAAAAAACACTGTAAAAAACAGTACGGAAGACACCTGTTCGTGAACGCGCCCGTCCAAAATTCGGCAAGCGAAAAGTGAAAAAACGCCGTGTTTTTCAACTTTTTGACCTCAATTGTTTGGTTTGCAACATCTTTTTGTGCGGTTCCGCAGGTGGCCTGGCCCGGAGGCGGATTTTTGAGTTTTTGGACCCGTTTTCGGACTGCTTTTCGTCGTTTTGTGATAGCAGAAACACTGGTTTTTACAGTGTTTTTCTGTTTTCTGCATGCTTGACGGCTAGCTTCAAAACTTCCAAAAACCTCGTAAATTACGCTGTTTTATGTTACGGTGTGAATGAAAACATCGTAAATACCAGTGTTTTTTGACGTTGGTTAAAAAAACACTGTAAATTACAGTGTTTTTGGCCACCTGACCCTCAAAAACCATGGTATTTGCAGTGGTTTCTGCTTCTCACCGCGCAAAAACACTGTAAATAACAGCAATTTCGCCGTTTTTTCATGTTTTCGTTATTTTTTGAACTGCGTTGGTCCGCTATACATGGCTATCAAATTCTTCGCGTTTTTTTTTTCCGACAATCAGTACTTTCGGATGTTTTTGGTCTCAATGGCCGACATCATTGGCAGTTACGAGCGGTCGCGAAGGTGTGAGAACAACATCGTTCAAACCGTGGCGGCCGCACAGGGGTTCTTGTCGCGGAGCGACGGCAATAGAAGAGAACAATGGCAGTAGAAGAGAACGATGCGGTGCGGGCGGTTGCCGTCGCGAAGCGACGTGAATATGAATACATAATATAGATTATCCCCTGCCTCTATGGGGGTAATTACACAAGCCCTGATACTAGAGCAATACATATAACCATGGTAATTATTCGGCCAGGAGTCGCCGTTTGCCCGGAATGCAATTCACGACGTCGTGACGAAGAGCTAAAACCATGGAAACTCCCGAACAAAATGACTGTAGCAACATATCTTCAAATGGTTTTGTTGGAGATTGAAAACGGCTTTTGGATTTGTGACTGCTGGAAGGGTCTTCGAAAACTTGTGTTCCAAAACCCCTGTTTGAGCTCTTTTTAAGCATCTTCGGTTTCCTCGACATAGAACAATGGCATGACACCTTCAATGAGTGTAGAAGTTTAACGGGGGTGAGGGAATTAAACCCTTATTGAAGATCTTCAATGAGTGTAGAAGTTTAACGGGGGTGAGGGAACTTGACCCCTATTGAAGATTTTCAATGAGTGTAGAAGTTTAACGCGGGTGAGGGACTTAAACCCTTATTGAAGATCTTCAATGAGTGTAGAAGTTTAACAGGGGTGAGGGAACTTAACCCTGATTGAAGATTTTCAATGAGTGTAGAAGTTTAACGCGGGTGAGGGAATTAAAATTTTATTGAAGATCTTCAATGAGTGTAGAAGTTTAACGGGGGTGGGAGAATCAAACCCTTATTGAAGATCTTCAATGAGTGTAGAAGTTTAACGGGGGTGGGGGAACTTAACCCTTATTGAAGATCTTCACTGAATGTAGAAGTTTAACAGGGGTGGGGGAGTTTAACGTGGGACCATGAGTAAGTTGGGACAGTTTACAGTTTGGGCGAATGGCGGCCCCTGAGACTAATTATATTTAACCACAACAAGCGGGGTGTATGTATGTGTATATATATATATATACCTATAATCATGTATATATATATATACATACATATATGATGTATATATATATATACACGCATATGTATATGTGGGTTAGTTGTAGGGTTCATCTAGATCCTGTGGCTTGCAAAATCATGCTAGAAATGGTGGATGACCCCCTCAGTTCTCACCAAGTCACTTGATTTTTTCCAGGTTTACATAGGGTTGTATGGGCTTTTTGGTGGGCATAATACCAATAACGGCCTCTCGTCGAGGAGTAGAAGATTCCGATTCCCCATTTCAATGAATCTCAATGTGGAGAATCGAACTAAGAGTGGTTAAGCTAAGAACGACAGAAGGGTGCTACTCTGACAAGTAGAAGTGGAAATATTACAGTAAATTCCATTACATTTGCTGAGGCACAATACCTTTTCCAGGGATCAAAGACAGTTTTGCTGCGATCGAAACTATACTGCTTTGGCTTTTGTGCATCCGCACATCTGGTTGTGTTCAACGCCTAGGGCATTGAAGGGTAAAAGGGGTTAAGCCAAAAACAAAGAAGGCTCAGCCAAATGACTCGTAAACTTGCTCAGCACTCACAGAAAAAAAAAACACAAAGGTTCAACTAGGCCATTACCGGAGGGTAAATCCCAAGTGTTTCCCATCAAACCCCCATTAAATCTTCATTTGTTCAACAAGAAGTGTGTCCTTTTCCCAACTGTTGGGCACCTTAACCCAAATTTCCAGGTCCCAGGGCCATGAAGCACTGGCCAATCCAGCAGAACTGGATGGACTAAGTAACAAATTGAGGGATGTTCTAAACAAAAATCATTGGACGAAGAAAAAGTATGAAAGGGGACCGGGGACAACCAAGAAAAAGTGTGATACCAGAAATGCGAAGGTCGGAACGAAGTGTGGATTGGTTCTGCGTACTCGTCTATTGGTGGGAAATTCGTGATGGCTTCACAACCGCCGTCAATCCTGCCATTGTAAGCTCACAAGGAGATCAATTACAATTGGACAAAAAAGCTTGCTGGCAAAAATGAGGTGTGCATGATGAAATGTCTGATTTCAAGGACCGCGGCTTCAATGAGGTTTTTCCCGCAAAAGAATGAAACAAAATGAGGCCAAAAATAGCTACCTTCAAACTAAAAAACATGTAATAATGAAATATGAAGACTTGGCTTACCCAAGTCCGGCCTCTCGGTGCAGCTCTGTAGCCCCAGCAGTCAGAAAGGCGCTGGCACAACCGAAGGTGCAAACCTAAAAGTGGGGGTCAAAATGCCGTGGGAGTTCAGGAATTTCTGGTAGTTATATTGTATGTATAATATACATATACATACACACTATGTGTGTGTGTATATAGATATATATAAACACACGTAAAATGTCAAACATATCACGGCAAGACCCTGAGGTTTGCCGGGACTCGCAACGAGCGTCCGGGAAAGCCAAGATGACGATGATGATGACGATGATTATTATGATGATGATGATGACGATGACAATGACGATGACGATGATGATGATTTTGATATCTTCTCGAAACCCTACAAGAAACCCTAATGATTGTATGGTTAATTGTTCCATGGAGCCGGGGGATTTTCATACCTTCTTAAAACCCTATAAGAAACCCCAATGACTGTATGGCTAATTTCATATGATATGTAGAAGCAACATGTTCTGGCTATATGATATGTAGAAGCAACATGTTCTGGTTAACACCCTAGCAACATAATGATTGAACATAAATCTGGGCTTGGGCAAACCTCGGGGTCTGTGTGTCATATGAACGTGGTGGTTTCTTGAAATCAGGGTCCCCCCAAATCATCTAAGTCATTAGACCATTTTGGTATTGAAACCCATGGCTTTGGAGATCCCCCGACCGGGCCGAGAAACCCTATGGATATGATGAACCTCCAGAGACTGTTATTTTGGCGTGAACAAATGGGTACCATTTTCACCGCCACTTGTTGTTGTTTCTGGCTAAATGTGTTCGTGCAGCTTCCGTTTCTTGGATTTCTTTAAAGTTGGGGAGATCTTCATGATAATTTGGTTAGCTGGTTGTAGGTAATGGCGGTTCAAGCTCGTTGGCACTTCCAATTAGAAAATAATGATGTTTGATGATGTAACTTTATTCACCCCATCAAAATCACGGATTGAACCATGCGCTGAAAAAAATTGTGGAAGCAAATCGGATAGCCAACAGCAAATGGAATATCCCAAAATGATTGATGGGTATTTGCAAACATGGAATGTCAATCACTAAAAAACTGTGCCTTTCAAAAAAAAAGAACGAAAGCGAAAATGATGATTGATACTAGAAAGGATTAATAAATAGTACCATATCATAATCTTCATAAATTACCTTGATAAAAATAATAATGTTTTTCATTATCGTTTGTTTTCAGTATACCCGGTATACAACCGCCGAAGATGAGGATACAACCATGTAACCACTAGTTTGCAATTTAACCAACCCAAATTGTGATCGCACCATCTTTTACATGATCAAGTTTTGACAATTAGTTTCCAATGATAATAATGCCTCGGCCCAATTTCATCACCGAAAATGCAAAAATGAAGAAAATGGGTTTCAGCTTACAAACTGGAGGAGTTCATTCGAACCTCTGACCAAAAATCCATCCAAAGGCAACCAGTTTCCAACAAAACTATCTTGTTCTGACCAACGTAAGGAGGGGATGTGTGAAAAAACAATCCTTGGATGTGACAAACCGATTCTCCAGCTGCATATGACTCGTTGAACCCATTTGGATGTTGAAGCAATGCAAGTTGTTGAGTTCATCAACAGCGACCCGTTTCTTTGACTACACAGGGAAATTCATCGACAATCAGTGGGGCAGCATAAGGCATAAGGCAACACAATGGCGAGAAAAACAAACAGGTATACATATGTATATTATGTGTATATTACGTACATATATATATATTTTATATATATGTATAATTATATATACAGTTGTGGATGATTCCAAGAACCTGCAAACCTCGAAACCATGATGGTTCATCGGCTTCTTTCGGAGGAAATGAAAACCAAATTATTGGGGTATCCGGAAGACTCTTGGTCACAGGTACACATGTGCATTTTTTCTACATTCTCTGTGCGTTTCGATTTAAATGACTTCACTGGCGTATGGGTCCACATTGCACCCAAACATCCCTGGCCAAGGTTGGATTGTTTGAGGTCAGGAAAATGAGACCCTCCAGGCCCTCTCCCACCATGTCTTGCCATCCCCACGTTTGACTCAAACTGGATTGGACACCCTACTTGATGGCCATTCATGGGCTAGAATCATAGTCTAAAACTTAGCACCCCAAAATTTAGGACCCACAAAAAATCGGAGAAAATTCGTTTTGCTCCAAAACCCCAGGCATTTCTGGCCACACTTTTCTACACCAAGCGCCAAGCCGCCAGTTCCGTAGCCAACATCACCGCAGGCGCCCCCGCAGCCAGGTACACTGCAAAGGCCTTGCGCACCAGGCCCCGCTGAGACGGGGATGACGGGGACTCGGGGTCCGGTTTCAGCAGCGGCTCAGACTCAACCACCTGGCGGGGACCTGGAAACTCCATGGGTTTTTACCATCGAACATGGGGTTTCCTCTAGAAAATTTTGCCAGGAACCAATCCAATGGGTTCTTTCCATGTAAAAAAACTTGACCAAATGGAAATGTCTTTTTGGCAATTTAGATTTTAACCACCTAAATAATCAAAAAATGAGGATTTCAGATGAGAACCTTCGAAAGATGGGGATGATGGGAACCAACTACAACACACTAGAAAAGCTTTGTCGTTGGAATCTACTTCTGGGGGATTCACAAGTGTTGCCCCATCTCCTTGTATCAGCGTGGCCCATTGACAACACATCTGGATAATCATATTATATAATTCGCAAACCTGAAATAAGACCATTTGGGCCATTTGGGGATAGTTATATACCCTTACCAACATCATCATCCTCGCCTGTTCTGGAACAAAGCGTAGGAGCCAGAGAATCATCAGCAACAGCAGAATGGGATGCACCAAGGCCCAAAAGTAGGGCATGGGCACACCATGCGTCTGAGCTAAGTCAAAGATGATGCCCACCAAAGGCGGGCCCACCACATTACCCAACATACCTGGCACCGAAAGTGTCCACGCTGTTGGAGGCATGCCAAAAGCCATGTTGTCAATCCATTTCATCGTCGGAACGCACTTTCCATGGGATGCCATGAGAATTCCCCCAAAAAGACCCGGCTCAGAATGTGGGACGATATCGGGATATGGGTGATGCCAAAAAATGGAACGGTTTGATACTAAATTTACCGGCAAATCTTTCAACGACTCCCCACTCCAGTGCCTAGGCCCAAGGCTGAACCCAGAAATGCTGAGCGTTGAGGCTCCTGGCACAAGATCCGCAGAAGGGAAGATGTTGTAGTCTCAACTGCAGGGGAACATCCTCAATCCCATCAAACTATATAGTAATGTGGTAAACCTAATATAATATTTTTTTACAAAAAAAGAACTAATATTTCCATAAATGGATGGGACAAACCATCCAAAATTGGAGGTTTATTGTTGGGTTTGCCACATTATGAAATATCCCCTAAACACCATGGTTTCATCTTCGGGGGCAGAATCACTCCTGATAGTGCTCCATAATGAGAGCCATGGACGCATTGAAGTTCGCCTTGCAGGCTGCGACAACGGCCTAAAACTGAAGTGGAACTAGAATCTACATGAATGAAGCACATTCAAGAGAGCAACTTCTCGATTTCTTACTGTGCATCAATTCACCAAGATCAGGATCCCATCAACTTGGGATTCAGTAAATGGATGCTAAGGCTCCGCCAAGGCGGCACCCAGCACTAGACGCGCCAACAGCTGAGCCGGGAAGGTGGCAGAGAGAGCACCCAGCACCAGGCCCAACAAAGCCACCTCGTGGTCCAACGGCAGAAATGGCTGGGAAAATGGCGAAGAATCTAGTTTTCCATGGCTAGATCTAGACTTTTGAGTCTTCAGATTCATAGTTTAGGACATGACCAGGGCATTTCAACCATCCAAACTATAGTAACATAGCTAAGTTCAACATACACATACATATATCAGTACATGTATATGTATATATATATATTATAATATATATGGTCCCGTCCTCCGTCTCTCCACCCCCCCCCCCCATGGGTTGGGGGGGGAGGGGGTAGCTCGCCTCTGGGGATTCATGATCCCCATTGTGTTCCGATCTATGTCACCGGTCAAGTATGGTGTAGCAAAGTTGGGTCCCAGGTTTGGTATTCAGCGTTCAACATCATTCAACATGTTCCATCCAAGAAATGATCGGTCATTCAACATGTTCCATCCAAGAAATGATCGGTGGTAAGATGCTGCAATTTCTTTTATCTTTCGTCGGACGACAGTCAGAGCCGCGTTTTGCGTCTCAAGCGGCGCAGAAGCAGCAGGTTATAGCGCAGGCCGGTCTTCTGCAGCACGATTGGGTTGTTGCTGTCATTCGTTGTCCATATCTTGTGGCCATTTTCGTAGATGACAACTGCGATCCCCTTGGACTCGCTGAACGCACCAATGTGAGCTGCTGTCCCGTATGCCCTCGGATGGCGCATGTACTGGAAATAGTTCTTCCAGTTCCAGGCAGCCTTTCCTGGTCCTTCCATCCAACCTGGATCGTCCCACATCTCCAAGCGAATCTGCTCCTGCAAGAGTGCCATGCTATCGCCGTCCATTCGTTGTAGCGACAGCTCCATGTGGCGAAGAATCTCTTCTCGCAACTTCATCGCACTCTCGGTGCTATCCACAATGGCCTTTGCGGGGACACCGGCTCTCGCTTGAAGGGCCATGCTGAAGCAACGAAAGAGGCAAGCTCCGTCACCTTCAGCTGCAATGACCTCAAATGCTGGAGCAGGTCGCTTGCAAGGTGCACCAGGGCCCTTCAGAGGCGTTGGGAAGTAGGCATCATCTGAAATTGGCTTCGTGTTTCCAAGAGACTTGTCCAGTGCGGAGATTTTTGACTTCTGCAAAGCCTTGGCGGCACTGGAGCACTTCGAAGGTCTCCACACCCTCTTGAGTCGTCTCGAACTTCCGTGGTCCGCTTTTTGCCACATATTGAGTGTTCCTGCTGAGCACCATGTCGCCAGCCACCAGTGGCATTGCGGTCTTGTTGGGTCTCTTGCGGATCCATTTCAGTTGGCTTTTCATCCGCTGGCGTAACTTCTTTGAAGAAATGGCATTGCGTAGGGGTTGGATGAGCTGATGCAAGGACTTGGCTTTCTCTTCCAGAGACTCCTTGTCATACTGCTTGGCATCCAAGTAAGCAACCCATTCCTCCTCGGTGAGAGCTGAAGGTTCTTCCATTGCATTCTTCAGGTGCATGTTGCGCCAACGAGATTCTTGAGGCCTCAGTAGTCGCCAGATCGTCTCTGGAGGCAAGCCAACGGCCGTGTTCTTCTGGTTGTATGCGATTGTCGCAGCAGCAAGACGTGCTCGCTGTCCACCGCAGCTTGCGTCGAAGATTTTGTTTCTGCATTCAACGAGGCCGTTTGATTGCGGCCGCCCAGGGGGTATTGTCCGAGCACGGACCCCAAGGGTGGCCTCGATGGCTGCAGAAATAATGTTCCTGAATGCTCCAGCGTTATCTGTCCAGCTTGCTACTGGGAGATCAACGTCGGTGTAAAACTTGATCATAATGTCTTGAACGGCCTGCAGTGTGGCGCCTTTGAAGTTCAAATCCCAGCTCCATGCCTGGGCGCAGCTGAATGCGTAGATGATGGGATATGGCATATGGTGTCAAGAAAGACAACAGAAAAACGAGTTTGGGTCGATGCAGTGCCGGGAACACAGTGGAACACATGTGTGAAGAAACAAATGCAGGCTCTCAGAAAATAAAAATGCAATGTCAAAGCAAAGTACCCGTCCAGAGGTGAAATCGCATGCGAGCAGAAGGTTCCACTTGCCGCCTGACACCGGCGTCATGGTTTTTAAATCCCAGCCCACGACATCTCCAGCTTGACCAGGCACTGGCAAGTGCCGCGGTCTTGGCTGCTGGAGGTCCCTGCAAGTGTTTTGTCTGCAAACCTGCGGCTGCAGTGGATTTCGAGGGCATGACTTTCAATGGGAGGAAACAAGCACCTCCTACTACCTGAATTCTTTCGCAGCATCGAAATGTATAATATAGATATTATATATGCATAAATGAATCGAAGCATGCGTATGTATATATATATATATTTTATTTATTTAAATATATATATATATATTTCCATATATATATATATCCATATATAATTATATAAACATATATATATATCCATCTATCGTTTTATATAAATCCATATGTAATTGTATATATATATATATCCACATATATATATTTTTATTTATATATAGTTAAACATATATATATATGTATATAATTATATATATTTATATCCCTATATATATATATACATATCTATCCATGTGTATATATATTTATATATATTCACATCCGCAGACCCCAGGCGTGAGGAAGGGGAGCGCGTGAGGGGAAACGAAGAAAAGTTAGCTTCTGATAGTGTTTCTCACGGGTCCAGAATGCCACGTTAGGCACTAGCGTGCTAAAGTAGATGTCTCTAAATACTACTGAGCAAAGAAGGTGACTAGCTACTGTAAAGTAGGCCACTCAAGTCCCACAGGCTCAAAGTTTATTCTTACCTCTGCTACCAAAGTATCGTGCTTGAGCCATGCAGCATGAGCCAAAGTACATTGAAGTACTGGGCATGGTGAAGTGACGTGGGAGAAAAGTGCATATTTCACACGACAACAACAGCAACAACAAAAACAACAACAGCAGCAGCAACTAAGGGCCAGCGTTCTCTGGGTGGAGCAGCAATAGGATAATACATCTATCGAGCGATATCGAAAGGTCATCCCGCCCCAAACCAAAACATATAGTTATGTATACTAGCAGGGTTCTTTTTCATATAAATACATGGAATATGAATTGACCCACATATATGTGAGATAGGTGAGTTCTGATTCGAAAGGGCAACAGGTAGAAACATACGCATGCCTGGCATCTCTCGACAAAAAATTGCGCATCGAGCTTGCAGTTGGGCCACGCCACTCCAGAGGATTGAAGAGCACTCACGATTCCATCTCTGGCGCCTTGATGCTCGAGATCTCTGTGGGCTGCCTCCAAAAAAGACAACTTCTTCTTTGCATCCACTGTGCTCTGCTGCCTGCCCATGGCTACGGAGCTCCACTTTGGGTTGCCTTGCTTGGCTAAAAGAGCTTGCTTTGTCTTCAAGCTCTCACTTGGCAAGTCAGTCATGGGAGCTTCTAAGATCCAGCGTGCTGCCACCTCTGCAGTAGTTCCAGCTGGCCACAAAGAGGATTCCGGCTGCTGCTGCCCAGCGGCACTTGCATCGGCAAAGTCCTGTTTGCGTTGATTGAGGTTCTTTGTGCAGCACTTTTCGCACTTGGGACGGCTAGAACCCCATTGTGTCTTCGAGAAGCTCTCTTTGGGAAGCGGCTGCGAGCATTGGACGCAATTTCTGACCCATACTTTGGCGTTGTTTGCCTGCGGTGTCGAGCAACAAGCAATGCACTTGGAAGCCGTTCCTTTCTCCCACTGCGTGTTGGAATATTGATCTCGAGGCTTCTCTATCTCACAGGCTGCGCAAACTTTGCCAGACAAAGCTCTTCGTCGGAATCTTTCCTCAACAGGTCGGCATGCTAGACACACGCCATCCTTCTGCAGCCACTGCGTGTGAGAAAACAGGTCTCTGTTCTTGTTCGCCTTGCATTGGTGACCTTAGCAGCGGCCGCAGGACACGGCTGACGTGGAGTGGAGAGCATCGGTTCCCATGTATCGTATAAACTGGTTTCAATGTATGTCTGTATAGATGCCGTTGGAGGAATGCAGCCTAGGCACAGGTCTTGGTGCTATGAGAACTGCTAGCGGATTGTCGCTGCAGAGCATCCTGAACTATTTGTTGCACTTGAGACAGTGTGACGTACTGCGGAGCCGCAGGCGCCATGCCCGAGGCTTGGGCCCCACTGGGCGGTTCCACTGAAGCGGAAGGCTGGCGTGACCCTGCCGAAGCTGAAGCTCCTTTAGCACGAACGTGGTTCATGGCCTTGTTCAGGGTCAGTCGGGCGTAGTAGTCCTGACAAACAATGGGGCAGCACTGTGGTGGGTGAAACAAAGGTCCCTGAGTGCACATCTGCTAGAAGCTATAAAACAAGGAGAGGGCAACATGACCAAAGTGAAGTATCGATTGTCGCACATAGGTAAGATGAGGCAGCTCTTATTAAAAGTTATAAAGGATGGCTGAGAACAAAAGCGGTACACAATTGTGAGAAAGCCGGTCGGATGCGCCTGGTTACCTCGTTTGGCCAGCAAAGGACAGTGCTGGATGGCATCCTCTAAAGTTGCTTGCGGATTCGACTCGAAAAAGTGGCAAGCCTCTCTCCAGTCGTCGCGGCTGATGTCCCGTTTGGGCGGTGCCGAGTCGGTTTGAACACTTCCATGCTGCAAGCGCATCTGAGGGTTGCTTGTGAGCTGCAGGTACTGAGCTTCGTCCAAGTTCGCCAAGCCAGAATACAATAAATGGGTGTGACACTGCTTCTCCGGCTTGCGATTGATGCTGCCGGGCAAGCGCCCGACCTGGGTGATGCGGGCTGAGCATGGATCGCCCCCCAAAGCCTTGGTGAGCTCCTGCGTCACAATCTGTGCGTCTCTGGCTTGGTGCCTTTGGTCCAAAGTCAGCCAAAGCTGATAGCTCTGTCTGCTAGTCTGCACCAATGCGCGCGGATGCAACTGCAGAAGTTTGGAGAGGGAGCCAGTGAAGTTGTCCAAGTCGATCATGACTACTGAATTGAGATTTGGGCGAATGAAGAAGTGACACGGCAGCTTCATCCATACCTCAGCGTGGTCAAAGCAT